CTCCAGGGCCAGTGCTCTATCCACTGCACCACCTAGCTGTCCCTCCCTTTTGTAGTTTTAATGCCAATACTGGAGTAGTGTGCCATTTCCTTCTCTTGCTCATTTGACAGATGAGGAAACTGAGGCAATCAGGGTTAAGTAACTTGCCCAGGGTCACACATCTAGTAAGTGTTTGAGACCAGGTTTGAACTTAGGTCTTCCTGACTCCAGGCCTGGCACTCTATCCACTGTGCCACCTAGCTGCCCAATTAATAACAATATTATATATTGTAATATATATCATATATATCATATGTATATGAATAGCTCATGTTTACACAGCAATTTAAGGCTTGCAAGATACCTTTTTTCCTTAGAACAACCCTGTGAGATAGTCAGTGCAAGTAGGTATTACACCCATTTTATAGATGAAGAAAAGAAGGGTCACAGATTAGTTAAATGACTTACTTATGACCTCATATGAATGTTGTGTGGGAACTGTGTTCAAACTCTAGCTTCTGAATCCAAATCTATCACTCTTTTCACTACATGCGACTTCCTTGCATAATAGTTCACATTTATAAATCTATTTAAGGTTTGCAAAGTATTTTCATCAGAATGACCTTGTCAAGTAAGTAACATGACTAGTAGTAGCCCTTCAACAGATAAGGAAACCGAGGCTCAGAGATGGTGAATGTTGTGCCCATGTTCACACAGCTACTAAACTTTGGTGCTGGGACTAACCCATATATACCTAACTCCAAGTCATATATGTATTCCATTATTGTGCTGTCTGATAAACATTAAGATACTACTCTGCCCACTGAGGCTGTAGTTGGCATAGGCTGCCGTTATTTTATCCAGACAGAACTGGAAATAAACTCTATTTCATCCATGCAACAGCTGGTAAACAGTTGTCTTGCATTTTGCTCTTTTTCCTCCCAATCTTTGCTGATGTTATATTGTTATACTCTGTGGGTAAAAAGGCTGTTATGCCTTTCTTATGCGTATTGCTGTGGAAATGGGATTTAAAGGTAACTGTGATAAGTAGGTAGCACTATTCACTTCAATGTTACAGTAAGTTAGAGGTTCTTGTAAATGATTAGCGAATGTGCATCAACTAGGAGGCAAGCTAACATTTCGAATCAACAGCTCTAATGCTTTTAAAAATAGGCTCACAACATAGCTATTTTTGGCCTGTGTTTTCTTAATAGGCCCTTTAATTTCAAGGTGTTAACAACATTACCTCTTTCATTCTCTGATAAATCACTTTTCCATTCTTAATTTATCTGTCTATGTTTATCTACGGCACCCTATAAACAATGTAGCTCACTCCTCTTTCCTGGGGCTCTAGGAAGGAAGATGCTTATGCTGCTGTAATTAGGCCCATAACATGCGGGTCACATTCCATAAGCTGTTTCCTAGCCTTAAGGCCTCTTGGTCTAGGCTGACTATTATTCTCCACCTCCTGCCATCTGGTCAGAGTATTCTGGCTGCCTCTGTTACGATTATGATCAAAGTATGTTTCACAGGAATAGCCTGGAAGGTAGGCTATGCCTAAACAGAGAATAACTTTGGGAAAAGAGAAGGAAGAATTCATCAGGTCAGTTCCTTGGATGGGAATTTTAATTACCCCCTAAAATTTATATTTCTATCCTGTTACCTCAAAAAGAAAGGAATCATTAGGTCAGCTCATTGAATGAGAGCTTTTTATCATTATCCTCTAGAGCCTCAGTCTCCTCCCCGTTATTCATGCATTACAGTGTTGATATACATTAATTCATTCAATAAGAACATGGCTAAAGGGTTTTGAATGAAACACATTTTACTTAATCAAATCACTTTTTACAAAACACTAGGGAAGTCTGCTATTTATAAGATCTCTGCAGAATATCTTTTGTTAAACTAAAGATTCCTTTTGAAATGTGAGTAATCATCTAATTTATTTGTTATTAGAGGCAACATGTAAGTATAATGGATAGAGGGCCAGTGTTGGAGTGAAATAGACTTTTGTTCAAACTGTGACACATACTGACTTTGGACAAGTTGAGTAACCTTAGAGACTAAAGGCCTTTCCTTTTCTAACACTTTATGGTACAAACATGCTTTAGAATAGTGGAAGAAGTTCTCCATGTGGATGAAATCACAGGTCAGAACCTCAAACTCAAATGTTGTTATAAAATTAAAATTTGAGTTTTCTCAAAGGGGTCCAGGGTATGGGGATGGAGTAGCATGCCTATATCAGAAATAAATCTAGGAAGAAGGACATAGTCATATCACATCCCAGATAACTATAAACTTCAGATCCCCAAAGCAAATTTTTCAAAGCTGTAGATGTCTTCTAGTCCAGTGGGCACAGAGGCCCTATCAGGTAAGCTGGGGGTGGAGGTGGGGAACAGAGGGTGGACACCTCCTTTAAGAAGCACTTCAGAGGTTGCTTCGGCAATAATTTTATCTAAGATTGAAATGGAGATTCTTTTTGTCGAGATTTGACACTGCCTAGCTGTGTGCCCTCTCCAAAAAGACATCTTGTCTCTGGCTGAGTTTAAGTGAAATTAGGACCTTTCCTTTTGGAGAGGATAGCCTAAAATGGTAAATTGTATGGCAGATGAGGTACTTCTCCATGATGAACCTCAATCAGTTAGCACACATTTATTAAAACAAAAATGAAATGGTACCTGCCCTCAAGGGGCTTACATTCTAAGCAGTAATTTCCCCCAACTAAAAAGCCAGGCTGGAGAAGCAATCATATATACATATATATATATATATTTGCCACAGACTCTTTTGGCTAATGAAGTGTATAGACCCTTTCTCAGAATAACATTGTAAAATAATTGGAAAAAATGCTAAATTTCAGTTAGAGGTTAGTGAAAACAAGAAAAAAATTCTCATCCAAGTTCACAGACCTCTTGAAATCTGTCTACTTTCTGCTACTTTTTATCAGCAGGCACTTTAAAAATAATCCGGTAACCCTGAACTTCCTCGAGATCATGGGATTTAGAGCTGCTTGGAACTTTAGAACTCCTCTAAGTCACAGGATCATAGATTTAGAGATGGAAAGGACAAGCCCAAAAGCCATCTAGTCCAAATTTCTCACTTCACATATGAGGACACCAAGGCCCTGAGGAGTGAAGGAATTTGCCCCCAAACCACACAGGTAGTACATAGCAGACGCTGGGTTTGAACTTGGGTCTTGTAATTCCAAATCCAGGGCTCTTTTCATATTACAAAGAAATGCCACATATATACACCCCTGTACTCACACCCCTTTCCCTGCTTACCTCCTCATTTTACAGCAGAGAAAACTGAGGCCCAGAAAAGTGATGAAATTTGTTCCAAAGTGGCAGAGCTGGGGTTCAAACCCAAGGCATCTGATACTAAAATCAGAATGTCCCTTTCCCTGGACCTCGCTACTTCAGTATTCTTCTCTGTGGAAAAAGCTCACCCTCCTATCTTCCCTTATCAGTCCTCCCCTGGTCCCACAAGGGCTAAGAGAAGCACATCTCTACCCCTGGGAGCCCAGTTTATTTATTTATTTTTTCTTAAGCTTTTATGGTTATGCGTATGATTAGTAGGTCTGAAAGGGTGGCTATGAATTGGGGAACGTTTCTTACAGTCACTTCTCACAGCATAAGGAGCCAGTCGGCTGGGGGAGTACTCTTCTTCTGGCCCTCCGGGATGCTTCTTACCAGCAGGCAGCGGGAAGGCGGACACAGTGTGGAGCAGTACCAGGCAGACAGCCACAATATCCCATAACTTCATCTTAGATTCCCGTCCAGCGGCGGCTCCTGGGGGGTGGGGGGTGAGATAGGGTCAGGAGACAGAGAGAAAGGGAGATAGGTCAACTTTCCAGTGGTGTGGAAAGCCAGAGTCCCCTGTCCCTCTCATTGCAAAGCCAGCTCCCCCCTCCCAACTTTCACAATCATGCCAGTTGATGCACCTTCAAACCCCCAGGTGACTGCTTCCTTAAAGAAACTCCCTCACATATTATTATTACTGTTCCCTTTGGGAGCAAACTTTCTAGTTCGGAATCTTTTCCATTACAACTTGGTAATATGGAATGCTGGGGCTTGAACTAAAGGAGAGGGCTAGGGCTTCCGTCCCTAGCTACCCTTTCTGTTTCCCTAGATGACACCGTCCAACCCTCGGGCAATGAGCTGAGTCCCTAACCCCTGCTAGCCGCACCCGTTGCTGGCAGGAGTGCCTTCCTCCTCTCATGTTTTGCTGGGGCCCCGGGCAGCCAGCGCAGATCTCTTTTCAAGTCCAGCGTCCCCCTTTTCTCCGGCTCGACCCCACCTCTGGGGTGGGGGAGCCTTGGAGCTGGGTAGTCGCTCCTGCCCTGCCCCACATCTGCTGCACAGGCTTCAGACTCGGAATCCAAGCTCCTTGCTCACCCCACCCCATCCTCCAATTCAGCTTTAACACCTTCCATTCCCCCCCTCCCCCGAAAGGCAGCTTGGAGAAACCAACCTTCCCAGAGAAACTCCCTCCCTCAATGGGGAGCCCCGCCGTGGAAACCGCTCTTTCTCCCCATCGCGGGGCTCACCCACGCTAATAGGTGCAAGAACTAGAATAAAATTTCTTCCAAGGGTTTCCTGATCCATCACTTGCAATAAGTGGCTACAGCTGGTTTCGCTTCATGCACTTGCATCTTTGTCTATTGGCGGCTCGTTTTTTTTTTCTTTTCTTTTTCTTTCACTAACCCAGCACGAAAGGGAAAAAATAAAACCAAAAACAAAACAACAAACTTTTATTGGGGACAGGAAAGGAAAGTTAGTAGGCATCTGGCATCTTTAATACTGTTTAAATGTGAGGCAGCGATGGCACTTGTCTTAACATCTGATCAGCAACAGCACTCTTGAAATCTCCCCCCGCCCCATTAGTTCCCCCACCTCTACCGGGACTTTCTCCCCACGTCCTCTCCCTCCAGGGAGACCAGACCAAGGGAAGTCTCCCGAGCTCTCTCACATCCAGCCCCAGCCAAGTCTCTCAAGGCACAAAGCATTGCAATTTGCTCACAGCTCCAGGGGAGGGATCGCCCGGGATGCGCGGCAGGGAGCAAACAGAAAAAGATGTGCTCGCGGCGCCTCCGGGGCGTTGCTCGCTCTCGGAAGTGGAGCTGGGCACTGGGAGGCCTGGACTGGCGCTTCATGTCGGGCTCTGGCTCCAGTTTGGGGCGGGGTGGGGGTTTAGGGCAGGAGGAGCGTGATACAATAAACACGAGGCTCCCTCAGCCAGGGGGCACCATTTGGACTTTTCACACTCCCTCCTCCCCACACCCCCAAAAGGAAAAAAATAATAATAAAGGCATAGGCAAGGCGGAAAGAAAAATGTGCCGTCCAACTTCTGTTACTCGCAAAACTTTACTTTTCACTTGTGCGCCTCTCCTCCCGAACCGCGAAAACTTGGGCTGCATTGAAGGAAGGGAAAAACACGTGTGTGTGTGTGTGTGTGTGTGTGTGTGTGTGTATGTATGTGTGTTTTCGAGTTCCAGGAGCCAGACAACCCTATGCACCAACTCAATCAAGATCTTTACAAGACACCCACTGACCCCAGCTTTCCAAAGTCACTCTCCCTTCCCAACCCTGCTGGTTTTTGGTGACGAACTCCGCAGCTGAAACTCCACGTGGTTAATGTCACAGCTCTGCCCTTCTTTTCTATTAAATAAAACATACCCGTCGGAAAAGGACAAGTTTGCCCCCGCCCTCTCCCACTGGAATGGGAAAAGAAAAGGGATGGAGCCACGGTGAAGAGGTGCGGGAAGAATTTTCATCAAGAAGTCGGTGGGTTGCTTTGGGCCAGTGTTATCTAGACAACATCTTTCCTGCCCCCTCCCCTTCTGGTTCCCAGGCACTCCAGACTTTCCTCTTGCCTCCTCACCCACAGCCCCACTGCCAGTCCAGGCCCAACTAGAGAAGCGTTTAATTGGGCAGCCACCTCCCACGGTGCCCGCTGCCCGCCCTGGAGCTAGCTCGGCGGAGATGGATGCGTTTTCCATTCTCCTGGCATTTGTTTGCTCGCTAAGCAGCTGTTTGGCCGCACTAGCAAGGAGGAAAAAGAAACTCTGAGAGACCCGCAGCTCCGACCTCCCAATACAGCCCGGGCTTGTTTGCTGGGCAGCGGCGGAGGTGGGAGAGGTTGCGGTGGGCGACCCCCGGAGGAGGGGGGAGCAAGGTCGTGGTTCCAACGCCTTCTACTCCAAAAAAAATTACACCACCTAACCCATGCAAACGGGGGTGGGGGGGGAGATTAGGGAGCAGGACTTTTGGAAGCGTAAAGGGCCTTCTCAGTTCCTCCCTCCAGCCTACAAGCTTGTATCCTCCAAAAAGCTCGCGGGCACGAGGTTAATGCACCGTTCAAAATCCAGGTGCCCGCCCGCATTCCCCTCCCACCCACCAAAAGGAAGAGAAGGAGCCAGCAGATTTCCCTTCCGTATTAAAAGGGCTTTCCCCTGTTTTCCCCCTGCTGTGGGCGGATGGGAGATTTCAAAAATTGGACGTGGAGTTTCTCAATTAGGAGTGTGGCGAAGCTGGCAAAGGAGGAAAATGGAAAACTCTACGCCCCGCCAAAAAGGAGGCTCCCCATCCCTGGTTGTCTTCCCGCTCTCCGCCCGGCTCTTTCCTGTCCCCGAAACAGGCCCCCTGGGCTGGGGAAAGCGCATTCTTCTCTCCCGAGAAAGCCCTCACAGAAGGCTCTTTGAGCTAGAAGCTTATTCAGTTCTCATATCTGCTCTGGGGAGGAACCTAATGCAGGCTACTCATACGCAAACTGCCTGACGTGCAAAAAGTAGACCCAGCTTTGTCTGGATGTGATTCTCAAGCGCTTAGGTCTGTTTTTCTATTTAGCCCCCCCCGGGTTTTGTCACTCTCTCCTTTTCTTCCTCTTCTCTCTACTTTTCTTTCTTCATTCTCTTAAGGTTTGTTTGCCCCCAAACAAACGTGCTTCTTGCTTCTTTTCCCATTTCTTTTCAGAGCAGTCTGCTTAACTGCAAACCAAGAATAACAGCGTCTTGCATTTGCATAGGAGCCTTAAGGCATTCGCCAGAGTGTTTTCATATAGATACAGCTTTTCTTTCCTTTTTTTTTTTAAACAATCCTCACAAAGAAAGTAAGTGACAGAGTCAGAGTTGTAAATTATTAGTGCAATAAAGGAACGTTAGAGATTAAGCAGCCCCAAAACCCCCTCGTCTTCTGGATAAGGGCTCAGAGTAATTGATCCTGGACAAGTCACTTAACCTCAGCAGTAAAACTAGGATAATAGTAACACCTCCTTCGAAGGGTTGTTGGTGAAAATCCAATGTGATAACATGTAAAGTGTTTTCCAAAGCTAAAAGAATATAGCGTTGTAACATAGTGCTTAATGCTGATGATGATAACAATATAACAATATCAACTGAGGATCAGAGACAACAGAGAGGTCAACAGTGGCAGAACTGGGACAAGAAACGAGATTTCCTGATCTGGTGTTTTTGGCTAAGTAGAGAAAAGAACTACCTTATAGACAGGAAGGTAAATGCCCTAGTGGCACTCAACAACTAAATATGAGGTACACAGCATAGTACAGATCCTAGAGAGGAATCAAAGCAGTAGTGTTGGAAAGAGGGCCACTACAATACAAGTCCTCTTTCCTCCCTACCAAGTGTTTGAATAACTTTTCCTCATTTTGGACACTAGGGGGCACTAAAAACCACCACAGTAAGTCCACCTTACTACATAGCTGGGAAGTTTGGTCATTTGTCATCTTAAGTGTAACAGAAGGGGGGAGGGAATTGCTCACCTTAAAATATTATGGAGTTATCCTTAGAACTATTTGATATTCCTACCTAACACTATCCTTGTTCTTCATTCTCTTCCCCAGTCTCTCTCCCCTCTAACCTGGACTAATTTTTTGACCACTTTTCTTTGGAAATTGAAATCTGTCCTCACTCTTCCCCTCAGAAAACCTAGTCAATGAAATAGTTTCACACCTAGATGAACACCTCGACCACCAGAACCCCTTCCTCATTCTTAATTCTGAAGTCTGAGAAAGTTCTATTTGGGCTTCAGTTTCAAGATTGACACAAGAAATAAAAAAGTGGGATATGGGATTTGAGAAAAAGATAGATATGTCAGCTTTAAACCAATCTCTGGGGAAGAGGACTGGAAAGAAGCAAAGAAAATATTCATATATAAAACTTTAACCTGGTCAATGGGCCTTTAAGTAGTACACTTTGGGAAGTGTTATGTGGGGAAGTAAGGAGGAGGAGATGAAGAAAGAAGTAGCTAACTGCTATGTACTAGGTGATCTAGGGCAAGTCACTTAACATTTCTGGCCTCTGAGGTGACTTCTAACCCTAAACTTACAATCCTGTGAACCTTTTGCTTTAAACTATGAATTTCCATCCAGTGAATATTTCACTATGCTCTTAAGAGCTGAGCAAGTTGGTTTTCATCTCATGCTTTTGGGGGTCACCAGTTTAGTTTCCTGCTGGGTTTTGGTTGTACTGTCCCAGGAGACAGGGTGTACAGTGTCCGTGAAAAATGTGGAAGAAAACAGAAAGTCCAAAGCAGGTTAGAGTAGTGATGTGTTAAGGGACTACAAGTCTGTCCTGTATTGGATAGGTTGGTGGGAGTTCTGCGTTCCCACAGAGATTGTTTAGTCTCACTCTGCAGTTTTCCCTCACATGACCCTTATTACAGTGCCAGCCTTAACCTCTGCCCGCAGAAAGTGGAGGCACAACTGATCAGGTCCTAGGCATGGTGGCTGAAGTTGGGAATATTTAGCTAGGACCTAAGCATCTACTATTTTGTGGGACTTGCTAGTCACATCAAAATGATACCA